CATGCCCTAAATTATGGTCATTCCATTTAGAAAAAGAAAAAAAAATATATGGAAAAATAATAAACAAAACAAAAGGATAACCTCCTCCTCCTCCTCTCTTCCCATCCTCTCCCGAACCCTGTTCCTATCACATTTTGTTTCATTATTTTATTTCTATTATGAAAAGAGCCACATGCACTTAGAATACAAAAATATACAAAAAACAACAACATTTGTTTCTCTTTTTCAATTAATCAATTATAAAAATAGCAAAAAAAAAACAAAAAGAATTTTCTATATGTTCTCAAGTGTTGTCCTCCTCCCATCATTTCCTCCCATTTATTGTTCTACAACCTCTTTTACTCCGCATAATTTTCCATTTTTCTCTCATATATTCAACTTTACTTTAATTGGTGTCCTGTAGCATACATTTTTAAAGGTTTACTATATAGTTAAATAAAATATGTACAAGAATATCCTTTATAAAAATAGTTTAGAAAATAAATACTATAAATATTATTTGAAAAAAGCTTAAAGGACTTAGAAATGATATAGGCCACAGGCTTGAGCTTGTATATAAATAAGTATAAGGTAACCTATATCTACAACATACTTATATTATTACTAATATTATGGGCTTGCCATTACAATGAGTTTTTCATTATATTTATATAATATGAAATTATAATGAAATTTTTTTTTTTAATTCTTTTCTTAGGCAACAACAAGGTTTTAATTCTATTTGTTAATGAATATCTAACGCATAATCGCAAATTCATATTGTTGTAACTTGGATTTCAGAAATTTTTGATTGTTGAATAAATCGATAGAAGGTTTCTAATTTGATTCCTTGGGAAATTCTACACTGAGAAATTGGAAATTGGGTATTCTATGCAAACTGCACGATACTGCTTGCTTGATGTTGTGTTTGTCTTGGACAGATTTCAAGAGCATTGAGAAACTGTTGTCTAATTCCCTTGGCGATATCTCCAGTTTTATAGTTAGAATATTATAAGCGATATTCTTGGAATATTATATAGGGATATTATAGGCGGGAGAGTAGGGATTCTACAATAAGTCGCGGATGGTTGCTGTGGCCCTTAAGTTGACATAGTGAGAGCTGTGCAATGTCGTACTGATCGAATCATAAAAATTTCCTATAGCAAAATTAACAATTAAAGTATTAATGTGATAAAATTGCATATTTTTCGGCATTTGCTTCTTTAGTATTATTATATTGCACTGAAATCAATATTTTCAAAGTTTTGAAAAATCTGAATGGAAATCTTGTATAAATTCATCTAAAAACAAAAATCTTTCAAGTCCGTTTTGACAAGAATTCCATGTCACTTATGTTGGCTTGTGTAATTGAAGTCCAACATAATTTCAAATAATTTCAAATTAAGCTATTGATTTTAAGCAATTTCTTATTACTTTGTCGTCTCTTCTATAGTACGATAGAAACTGTAAAAATGAATTTTCTTAAATTTGCAACATACACCGATATAATATTAAAGTGACTATACTGCATACCTACTCCATATTTAAAAGGACATAAATTTTTATGTATGTACATCAAATAAAAATACTTATACATGTCGTCCTATGGTTTTTACTACCATTTGAAGTTTATTCACACAGAAATTTTCTTTATTGTTGTAAAAAAAAATTTTTTTTTTTATTATTATTATTTTCTGTACTACATTATTTCTGTTGCTTTCCCATATGTATATGAATTTTACCTTGTTTTCTTTTAGAAAAACAAAAAAAAATTTAAAAATAAAGGATAACAATTGTTTTATTATGTTTTTTCTTTTTTTTCCTGTAAAATACAAAGTTACATGTACGAGAGAAAGGTGATCCTGACGTAAAGAAGAGTAGAGAAGAGTTAAAAAAAATTTCTGCTATATAAAAACATAAAAACAAAATAAATAGAAAAAAGAAATTGTTTTTATTTCTTTAATTAAAAGTAATAAAAGAGAGAGAAAAAAAAATTATTTTCTATGTAGGATTGTATGTATGTGTAGGTAGTTATATGAGATTTAAATAAATACGAGGAAAATAGAAAAATTACAAGAGTCAAAGTAAAGTCTCTCGTATATAGGCAATTTTGTTTAGAGAACAATAACAATAACAACAATAACAGCAGTAAGAAAACATCAAAAATGCAAGCATACATAGAAAATTTTCTTTTGAAAACAAATTTTCCATTATTTTTTTTGTTTCACAAAAAGGCGGTCTAATAATGAATTATTCCTTTGATTTATTGTTTTCTTTACATTGTTTTGTTGCTTATTATTTTACATTTTTTTTTGTTTTTGTAAAAAAATTATATTTATATGCTCTTAATCATAATATAACGAAATTAAATGAATAGATAATTTATATCTCTATATTATGAGTATATAAAAGAATTTAAATTAAAGTAATTTGTATTAAAAAATAAAATTACAAAATGAATACCTAAGTTATGTAAGTGAAAATGTCTGCTTTTATTGTAGAATTATTCAAAAGATTCTACTATAAAAATGGGGAGGAAAATGCTTGATTATATAATAGAGATTTATTAGGTAGGTATTATACTTAGGTCTATATGAATATTTTCGAAAAATAATTCTATAAATCAAGAAATTTCTATTGATATTGTGTTGTTTTAACAATAATTTTAATTTTGTTTATTTAACTATGTTTAAAACAGCCTTATCTTAAAATAATTTTGGCTTGGATCATAGTTATAAAATGAAAGAGACTTTAGGTTTTAATATTGATTTTATTATAACTATATTTAATTAATTACAAGTTTAATACTTGATTGATTTATAACCTCTGTATAAAAAATTCTGACTCTTTAATAATTAAATAAAAAGTGAAATTCATTACAAACTATGACAACACTAATAAATTTTATAAAAAGAACTTTTTCCCATATTTTAAAATTTTAGCAAAATCTTCTTCAAAATTTACAATAATTTTCATTTTTATTACGATAACTTTACCTTTCATTTCTCACGTACGAACCCTTCAGACATTTTATGAAATTATCATTTGATTTTGTGTTCGAATTTATTTCGTTCCCTTTCATATCCCTAAAGTTTGATCATTTATTTTAAGTTCACACTTTAATAAATTCTCTTTACTTAATTTATTTTTCATTGTGGTCATTTCATAATACATACTTTTCCTCCTTGATTATGGAATTATAAAATATTTTCTTATGCGGTACAATTCTTCTGTTCTCATTTAACCAAATCAAAAATTTAAAATGTCAAGGATTGAATTTTAATCATTAATCTTAATAATAATACGTTGTTTAAAGAAAAAATGCGATACATAAATATTTCATAATTTATTCTCAAATCAGATTTATTGAATTTGAAATTTATGCTTTAAATTTTTGAAATTTTTAACGTGGCTATCAGTATATTTAAATCGTCATTATTTACAAAAGAGAAAGCTATCAAAACCACATCAATATTGTTATAGTAAAGCTAATTTAGAGGATATGTATAATAACTAGAAGATAAACAATGGCAACCTAATGTTTGTAAGCAAGTTTGCCTTTACAGCCCCTTTATTGTTATTCACATCAAAACTGACTTATTTATATAAATTTCACATAATATACTCGTTATCGGATCATTTATCCCATAGTTCATGCTATGGAGCAGATCAATGAAAAACCTGACAAATTTCATTGCGGTTCCCTGTCACAATTCCTTACCTTACTTTCATTGTAATAGTTATGCTCACAAAATCATTAATATCAATAATTGTTGTAATTATTTTTAATGGCACATTTCACTGCCACTTGCATTAATTTATATTAGCATACAGGTTTTTATTTCTGACAGTATTTCTGGTCAGAAATTTATAAATTTTAAATTAATTTAAGTTACCGAGAAAGTTATACAATATGAGGATTCTCGATTTCCTTCCTTATATTCATAATATTATTACACAAGGTGATTCAATAATGAGTACAAAATTATATACCATCACACAAAGCATTAAAAATGGGTTATACTTGCATTAACAAGTGGATGCCAAGACTCAACGATTTCCGAATTAGAGGAATTTTAATCATAATTGATCAAATTACTCCTGATTTCATAAAATTCCTGCTTATTATTTCATAAATCGTTTTCGAATTTTGATTCTTTCTAAACGATGGTTTACTTTTAATATTACACTCTTCACCTTGTATACTAATTAATATATTGTATTGTTGAATAATCTATTAAAATAATATAAGCAAACGAATTAATATAATGATAAGGAAACTGATTCACATTCATATAGGAATACAATCATATATTAAATTAATAATTATGACCTACTATCTAATTATTATAATGAACTTTAGCGCAAATAACTTAATAATCTTTGTAAATTATTGTAATTAATTCTCAGTGTAAATTGAAAACAATTATACGCCTCTTTATGCATATTTTGTGATATACAATCTGTTATACATTATTATTATGTAGGTAAATACACAAGTATAACAGAATATTTTTAGAAGATAATCAAGCAAACATTTAAATATGACGTTAAAATTTATTAATGTCATTGCTCCCTTGTTGTTTTTCTCTCTCTTTCATTCTCGTTCTCTCTTTATATCTAATATAAAAAACAATATTTAAATTGTGTGTTTTCTGTTTTAAACTCTTCATCTTCATAGTACTCGTAGTTTTTACTTTATTAAAATTTCTTTTGTCTATGAATATTTTTTTTGTGTTTTGAATTTTTATTAATATTCCTAATTCAGGTTAGGAATTCGAAAGCTATATAGGAAAAAAAAATTTATTTACCTATATTTTTCAAAATTAAGTAAGTATGAATATAAATACATGACAATAGTTCAAACAACTTTGGATATTATGCTGGAAGAATAGCATGTTTGATTCTATTTTCTAACAGAATTTTTAGTTATAATCGGAAATTTTGACTATCAAGATCGTAAGAAATGTACGTCTAAAGTGATTGAAAGGAACAGAATCTATTTATAATACTTGTATAATATGGTTTCAGTAAAGGCTTTATCTGTTGACAATGATTATGGAAATAATGGTATATTCTTCTCATAAAGATATTTTTTGAAATTGTAATAATTACGAATTGGGAATAGAGACTTTCATAATCAATATTTATTTCTAATAAATATTTCTAAAGTTATGTGTTATGAGAAGCAAGTTAATTACCAATTACGCTCGTTAGTGTACGGAATAAAGATAGAAAATTTGTAATTTGAATAGTAAAATTAAAGGTGTTACAAATAAATCAGTTCATTTTATTGTTCCTGAAACAGAACCAGGAACCTTAAATCGATAAATTAAATGTATCGAATTTAAATGTATCGATACAAGAAGCCATCGTTAGCGGGGTGGCTTACAGAGAGGGAATTTCTTTATCCATATCTCTCTTCAGTTAAGACGTTCGGGGTTCGAAACATTAATTCATTATTCTTCACAATTAGTCTTAAAAGCAAATCAAAAGTTGATTATTTTTTATGTAATTTAATTTTTGTTAAAATTTTCTTAAATTTGTTTTTACAGGTACACGTTCCATATCGAATAATCGTTTATTTTTATCATTAATAATTGGATTCATAATAGGTTCTTGTCTTGGATATTTTCAAATAATTATATCGAATAGTAAACATTTTTATGAAATTTATTCACCATGTGAATCAGTTAATAGTGTACCAGAAAAACATCAAGATCAACATCATAATAATCATAATAATCGTCCTCATAGTATAGGTTTTGAAAAAAGATTTAATAAATATCAAATATTAGCCCGTAAAATATTTAAAGAAGTGAAAGTTTTATGTTGGATATTAACAAGTCCCGATAATCATATAAAACGTGCTCAACATGTTAAGAAAACATGGGGTAAAAGATGTAATAAATTAATTTTTGTTAGTTCTCAGGACGATACAAGAATTGATGCAATTGGTTTTAATGTAACTGAAGGACGTGATTTTTTATGGGATAAAACGAGAGCTGCATTTAATCATATTTATGAAAATTATCTAGATGAATATGATTGGTTTCTTAAAGCTGATGATGATACGTGAGATTTATATTACTTTCATTATTTTAATATTATTAATTTTAAAAACTATACTTTAGGTATGTTATAATGGAAAATTTGAGGTATTTGCTTGCTTCACATGATCCCAACATACCAATATATTTTGGAAGTAAATTTCAGCTACCAGGTGCGGTAAGGAAATTTTATTTATTAATAACAATATAATAATATAAGAAATTTCAATTTTTAGACTTACATGTCTGGTGGAGCCGGTTATGTACTTAGTAAAGAAGCTCTTAAACGTTTAGTAGAAGTTGCTTTCGAAAATGATCAAATATGTCGTATAGATGGTTTAAATGAAGATTTTGAAATGGGATTATGTTTACATAGTGTTGGTGTTATAGCCGGTGATACACGTGATAGTAAAGGAAGATCACGTTTTCATCCATTAGGAATAAGTGTTTTAAGACCGAATGCTTTCAAAAATAATGCAACATGGTTATGGAAATATCAATATTATGTATTTAATTTCGTAAGATGAAAACTATATTTAATATACAAATTATTTTTTAACTTGTTTTAATTTCAGGGTTTAAAACATATTTCCGATCGGGCGATCTCATTTCATTATGTGAATTCAAATCAAATGTATTTATGTGAATATTTAATATATCGTTTAAGACCATATGGAATTACGTTAAAACCAGAACCTATACCAAAAATAAAATTTACTTATGATGAAGAAATTCAAATGTTAAAAGAAGCTGAAAAAGATCGAAATCTAAAAAAATTTAATATAAAAAATTATTTTAAAGTTTTATAGAAAATCAAAGTGTTGGTTAAGAATTTTATTTAATAAAAATATTGAAAAAGATTTAAACAATTTTTTAATAAAATTGTTGAAATATTGAGATTTTTAATAGCAGGTCAAGAACGAACCAATTGAACGAAACTCTGTTCTGCTGGACAAGTGTTTGAACGTATTGACATTGAACTTATGGCCTATAATTGTATTTGTAACAGAGATATCCATAGAGGTTATTCAAGAGCCGATAAAATATAAAACGGCTTTGGGATAACTATGTTTACATGATCTAGTGGAGGATTGAAAGGTAAAATGCAAATTTTCGAAATTTCGAATAAAATTAAATTTCGAAATTTCGAAATTTCATTTATGGTAATGTCTTTGTTTGATTAGACGAGGCTTATATTAGAACAAAAGAAGAATCAGAAAATACTAGATTTATACGGTTTTCTTTCAGAATTCTTTGCGTTTCGGTCATTCACTCTACTATTTATCATTTAATAACAGGCATTGATTGGTTTTGTATGAGAAAAATTCAATAGTTGTCTGCATATGAAATCTCACCATATAACTAATGCAAACTATTTCTCCCCTCAATTAAATGATTATTAAGTAATTTTCATCTTATCGTCAAGTACTTAAAACTTTCTTCTATCCCATTAACATTTAAGTACATAGTTCTAAAATACTTTATTCTTAAAATACAAAAAATTTAATCCCACACGCATATTACAGAATTTATTTTTTAAAACTGAAAATGTATTTTGTAAAATAATTTCAATCTTTATTCACTTATTATCCCATACAATATACTAACATACTTTCATATAAATAACATTATAACTTCGTCCATACAGTTGTGTTATTACTTATAACCGCATATACACACACATACTTATGTATACTAAAATTTACGTCTTATTAAGTGTTTCTTGTTATTTTGTAATTATTTTAAGGTATTTTGCTGGCGGCGCAAAATAAGAATTATTATATAAAATGATTATTAACACGGAAAGATGAAAATTATATAATTTAAAAGATAAATACAAAAAAAAAATTATTTAAGAAAAACTCTCGTAAAAAAAAATATAAGAAGAAAATAGAAAGGAAAATCTTTAAAATAAGAGAAAAAATCTAAAAAGTCATAAAAACAAAATGTTTTTTTTTTGCTTCTTCAAACCCTAAATACAAAATGTAGAAAAAAAGTGATAAAAAAAAGGAGCAAAAAAGAAGTAGCACTTAAAATTATTAAAATATTAAAACTGCCAAATCATCACTTGCAGGCATCAAAAGTTAGATAATAAAATAAAATAAATAAAGAAGTTAAAATGAAAACAAATTATTGAAAAATTTTAACAAACATGGAAAAATTACTGATCGCATTATGAAAAATATGAAAACAAGCTCAATATAGTGTTAGACTATATAGTTTCTATTAGCCACAATATCATTATTAGAACTTTTTATTTGGAAACATGTTGAACAAGTTTTTCGTTATGATTCGTACTTAATAGAACTTAATTCTATACGAAACTCGCGTATTCATTTAAGTAGTAAATTCTAATGAATCAAGATGAAGCAAGTATTGTAGAGCATGTCTCGCACTCAGAGGGTGGCACAAACGGGTTGCATTGAACTTTTACTCCATCTTATTCAAGATCTAATGAAGTACAAAAAAAATTTGATTTTATTGGATCAAATAGCATATCTCGCACTCAGAGGGGCGCACAATAGATCCCTGAGTACACGCAGATCGTATTGAACTTTTACTCCATCTTATTCAAGATCTAATGAAGTACAAAAAAAAATTTGATTTTATTGGGCCAAGTAGCATATCCCGCACTCAGAGGGGGGAACAATAGATCCTTAAGTATACGCGGGTCGCATTGAACTTTTACTCCATCTTATTCAAGATCTAATGAAGTACAAAAAAAAGTTGGTTTTATTGAACCAAATAGCTATAAACCATGATTTTGTTGGGCCGAATTTGATTTTATTGGCCAGATATAAAAGCCACACCGCTATCCCTGCTGCAGTAAAATAAAACGTTATCTAGTCCGTGTTCTTTAAGACTGATAATATAATATCAAATATTAGATAAAAGTGCCGCATAAATAATCAATAACAGGCAAATTTTCAATAGCAGCAAAAACTTAACCAACCATGTTATATTTTAATGGTCCATGTCTGTTAATAATAACATTAACAGTTTAAAAAAAAAAAATTAAAAATTTTCAATAAACAAGAGAAAAAAATAACATGGTTAAAATAAAATGACAAAATACTTAAACAAAAAATCCAAAGTGTTCTTTAAGAAAAAAAAAATAAAAAAAAAAAACAAAAATCATCTTTTTTTTCTATTTTGACTCTTTTTTGTTTCAAACGATTCCACAAGATGAAAAAGGAAAATAAAAAGAAACGAAAAAGAAAAAAAATATGATTGGGTATTATAAGAGAACCCTCTTAAAGTGAATTCGAGAGTTTAAGAAAAAATTAAGAAAAAAATTAAAAAAACAACGACGAACCACTAAACCATTCGTTCAAAAATTAAAAAAGAAAACAAATTAACGAAATAAAAAAAAAAGAAGAAAAAAAAATGATACATCAAAAAATATGGATACAAAAAAGACACTCTCCTGAAATTTAAAAATAACAAAAAACAAAAAGACGCTATGAAGAGTGAAGAGGATTATAATTTTTTTTTTTAGTGTCTCCCTTAAGAAGTCTTCAGGTTATTTTCATTTTCTTTATTTCAAACAAGAGCGAGAGAGAAACAAACAGATTGCATTGCAACTTGGAAAAAAAAAACAATATTTTATTTTTTTCTCTCCTTGTTTCGCGCTTCACTTTATCTAGTTTTAGTGAAATTGTCCAGAGCACTGAATATTAAAAAACCTTCACTTCTTATTCTTCTTTCAAGAGAAATTCATTGGCCTTTTATAACGCAAGTAAAAAATGTTGAATAACACTTAACCTACTAGTTTTTTTTTTTTTTGGCTTCTATCTGAATCCTTAAAATTTTTTATCCAAATTTTATGAGTAAAATATTTCATTACTATTTTACACATTTTGTTTTTGTTATTCAAGTCCCAGCTGGGCCATTAAAGGAGAATTCGCGTTTCTTTCGCTTGTTTTTTTTTTTTGCTTTCTTGTTTAATTTTGTACTAAACGTGAATAATTCGAAATAAGACTCTTCTCTAGAAAATTTTTTACACTTTGAAAATAAATTTTAATTTTTTGATTTTATAATTGGAGGGAAGATGGTTTGGCTTTTGTTTTTTCTGTCTTAAAAATTTACAGAATTGTACGAACAATTATAAATGTGTTTCTTTCTTAAATTAAGAAATTAAAAAAAAATTTCTTTAAAACCCCAGGATAACAATAATTTTGCGAATTTTTGTTTCCTGCTTTTCCGTTTTTGAGTTACAAAAATTGTAATAAAATAGTCTCAATAGATTGAATTTGAAATTTTTTTTTGTTTTAGTTCTCTTTTGACATTTTGAAAAAATGAACTAATTTTAAGTCTGGTAATTATATAGGGAATTTTAAGAAAATAAAAATGTCAGTATCTGACTTGTGCTATAGTGAAATATATATATAAATATTACTCTTTTGCTGCATAGAGGTTTGATAATTGTCAAATTAGAATTGTAATGGAAGCTCAATTTTTTAAGCTAATTTCAATTAAAACACATTATTTTGATATTTGAACAAATTAATTTGACAAAGAATTTTTAAACAAAAATAAAAAATTATAAGAGGTGAATATATTAAAAACAATTTTTTTCACCATACATATTTTTCACCATGCGGCCAACAATTTTTTTTCAAAAATTCGAATTTGTTTAATACTCCTGTTGTAATGTAATCCTTTATTCCATATTTTGCAATTTTAGATTTTTTTTTATCTTATCTTACTCTGAGGAGAGGCACAGGGTTAGTGCATGATATCCTAGACAACCATGCCGTACACCGTAGTTTCTCTTTTATATTATATATTAAATGTTATTGATATTTATTGTTTTATTTTGCTGGTGCAAAATAATATTGGATATTATGAAAATGTGGTAATTATTGTTAATATTAATTTTTTATTTTATATGTAATGTATATTAAGCTATAATAATCAAGCTATAATAATCATAATATAATTTTTATAGTAACAGGACCATGCTTTAAACCCGATGGCCGAAATCCTTCAGTTCATTCATCATTGGTCAGGTATGCGATTTCAAATAAGTACAAACTGCAATTTACAGGATTACGTTTCATCCGATCAGCAACTCATAATTCTATTTTTGCTCTAAAAATTTTATCTTATATTATAACTCGAAAAATTGAAACTATTAAGAAAGCTGTAATAGTGTTTGTACTACTATTGTAAATCTTATTATTCCCTCCCAGTCTTCAATCCTTCTTTACTCTTACAGTTATTTATGCAATATTATAATTAAAATTTTAATTTATGCATCATTAATTAATTAAAATTTTAATTTATAATTGTTCAAATACAACCATAAATTTCCACTAAATCTCTTATCTTTCACAAATTAATTTTTTATAATAATTTCTCTCTATTTCTCTTACGTAAAAATTTTCTTAAACTTTTAAGTTTTCTTAAAAATTAATGAATATTACCATACTTTAAATTTCTAAAAAAGATGGCGCTTTTAATTTCTTTTAATAATTAAATTAAATATTAAAATCACTTTAAATATTGAATCTTTTAATTTTAATGAAATTGGATGAAAATTCAGTAGTTTCTATAAACACAATAATAACACAAAAATTTACGTATTATGTAAATTTCAAATAAAATTTAAATTCGAAAAAATTTTTCCTCCTTTAAAAATCATTAACACTACGCCATAGTAGAATTTATTGTATAAATCGGATTAAAATTTAACAATAAAACATTAAAAATTTTACTTGCTTAAATTCAACTTTACTTTAATATTAAAAATAATCCTACAAAACAATTTCATTCATATAGATATTGCACTTAATTTTAAATAGAACTTCAGACAAAAATCATAGGTATTTATTACAACTTTAATTTAAGTAAATCTTCTAGTAGAATTATCATTAAACAAAACCAAAAATCCAACATTTCTCCATCTTTTATTTACAAGTAAAATACTATATACCAGAATATATAAAAATTTAAAATTGCAATCATCAAAATTAAGGATTCACTTGTATAATGCAATTACAAAAGTGTGAAAAATGTCACATTTAAATGCAAAAATCTTGTTATAAAAAAAAACCGGAACAAAATGAAAGAAAACCCTAAAAAAAATTTAGAATCTGCTTATTTCCTTACTTTATTTTGAATGAGAGATTTTGTAAGAACAAAATGAAAAACTTTTCAAGGATATTAAAATGATTAAGTCACTTTTTAATAAAACCGTCATATACAAAATTTAATACATAATATGTATGTATATATATGTAACCCATATTTAGTCCTATATATGTAGAAATTTTATTCTTATATCCTGAATTTTTATTATAATAAAAAAATAAGAATAACAAAAAAAATTTTTAAAAGTAATAAAGTTCTTGTATAAAAACAAAAAGAACGAGAAAACTTTAAAAAAAAATTTCTTGTTTTTTCAAAATCCTTCTACAAAATGTTATACGGTATATTATTATGACAAAAGACATAAAAATTTAAGAAGAGAATAAAAACTAAACTAACTGTATAAATTCCTAGGATAAAATTTTCATATTATGTAAGTTTTGGTTTTCATGGATTTTTTTTTTTTTCAAAAATAATAAGAAAATATTTTAAGCGTTTCTTGAATAGGCGTAAGCCAATTTTGAGCACTACCATGATTTCAAAAAAAAATTGCATACTTCGGGGAGTCAGTCTTCATTTTTTTTTTAATAGCTGACGTTGTATAACCAAATGTGATCATTCTAAATATTCTATAGTGTGGAGAGCCAGGAGCAAAATTTGTAAGATAAAAGGTAGTTTTTAAGACATTACTTACACTAGCAATTAACAAATAATCAAGGATAAATATTGCATTCTTTCTATACAATTATTGAATTAAATGGTATATTTTGAATATGTTACAATAAAAATATGGAGAAATATAAGGATATTATAAATATTAAATTATTTTAAAGTGAACCAAATATTAAGAATTTGATTAGAATAAAATTGTAGTCAAAATCAGAATCGAATTCGAAATGAATTTAGATATAGATAATCAATGGTAACAATTAAAATTTCTGCTTAAATAATTTAATTATTTTAAATTATTTATTATAATTATTGTGTTTATTATTATAAATTTGTATATTGATTTTCAAATAACCGCAATATAATAAAGAGTTTGATTCAAATTTTCATATTATTAACAAAAATATGCTTACTTTATAATTATTAACAGCCTTGTAATATTTCTTGACATTTAATATAAAATTTCCTACATAAGATTCCAATTATTTTAACAAAAATTTTTTTTTCAATGATCTTAAAATCATCAATATTATTCTTGACTCGTTTAATGTTTCTGGAAAGCCAAACTGAATTTTATAACTAAAATTACGGATTTCATTTTATAACTAAAATTACGGATATTGTATAACAGTTTATTTCAGATTTATTAAGATTAAATTCAAAACCAATATTAAATAGAATATGCAGATATTGTGAAAATATTCGGAGAAATGTAAAATAGTATTGAATTGAATGACTGAAAGCGAGATGCTTAACGGCAATTCATTTATAAGCCATTTCAGCCATTTTGAAGTATATTTTCTATGACAGGCGAATTGTTTTTCAATTAATTCTACATTTCAACTAAAAATCAATGAAAACACTTGACAGCATGACATTTTTATTAAAATCTAAAGCCTTCTAATTTTAAAACTAAACTTTTCATACTAGATCACAGAAATATTAAAAAAAAAAAAAAATATATAAAAAAAAATTTATTATTTCTTTTATATTTTCTTCT